TATCTGAGAATTTAGACTAAAAACTGAATATTCATATACATATACGTATATATATATATATATATATATATATATATATATATATATATATATATATATTATATATATATATTTTAAAACCCTCCAGCTTCAGTGTAGATCTTGTCTTGTGTATGAATGTCTAATGCATTAACGTTATCAGATGAACGTTCGGAAAATTTCACAGAAACAACATCGGTAATATTTCATTCTTTTTCATTTTTCTGTTACTTTTTTTTTTTCCTTTTCCTCTTTGGTTCTTTAGAAAACTTGACGTCGAAGAAAAAGCAAAAAATGTCATCACGTGGAATATTATACACATAAAAATTCTATAATCTTAATATTTTAATATACATTTTACAGGTAGACATTCACAGAAATTCTATGTAATCCTATTCCAGGATGCATAAACACTACATTTAAATATACAGAGGGACAGGAATATGTTAGGAAATTAAGTAATTTGGTTTGTATTTAGTTTTTTCTTATTCTATGTGCCATGTTATTTTAGCAATTGGGAGAATATGACTCTCGCCATTTTCCTGTCGTCTCTTGAATAAAATGTTATATCATCGAAAAAGGTGATCATTTGCCAGACTGCAATTAACCTTCGCGGTTAATTCGTCAATATTTACCTGTTATAAATGAAAGGAAACATTTTGGGTTTCAGTATATATATATATATATATATATATATATATATATATATATATATATATATATATATATATATATATGATTGGTGTATAAGGAATAAATTCCAATCACCAACAATTACTATGCTTAAAAGAGTGCTCAATACAAAGTAGAGGAATATAATTATTTATTAAAAATTATAATATAGATATGTTATAAAATCACTATAAAATAGCCATTTTGTTTCAACACCTTTGGTGTCTTATTAAGTGAAACAAAATGGCTATTTTTGTAGTTATTTTATAACATATTTATGTTATAATTTTAAAATAAATAATTATATATAATAATTTTTAATGTTATGATTTTTAAATAATTCAACAAGGAAGGTGCTTAATTTTTGTTGACCCAAGTACTTTCGACCTCCCGGAATTATAGCTCACCGCGTTTTTGTAATATCACTATTACAACGATTACAGTTACAATAAGATTGTTTTTGCACCCCATATATATATATATATATATATATATATATATATATATATATATATATATATATGTATGTATGTATGTATGTAATCCTGCATATCTTCATTTAAATATGTCTGATTAAACATTTCAGAAATGTTGTGCTTGCTTATTCTACAATAACTTTATCGAGACGTCTGACTCTACACATGAATGAATCATCGTCCCTTGCACAACATCTGGAAATACCTTCCTGTCAACATTCATAATTTAGAAGAACATTAGTCGACAATACCTATATACTTCACCAAGAATATAATAAGCAGAAACTACAAATACTAGAAGCTAACTTTATTTAAAATTAAAATCAAAACTTAATGAAATTAATCATGAATATAGTACAATTGTTCTGAAATGCTTATATTATATAGTTCCTTAGATTTATCTATCTTAAAACTAAACACTTAAAAAAACAAAAAAACAAGCAAATTAAATACTTCTAAAAAGAATTCAGTTGACCTCAATTACAAAAAAAAAAAAAATTACAATATCGAAAAATTTTTAAATCAGCATTTGTGACTTCCGCGCAGGACCGGAATTGGTAACGGTTTAACCAAAAAAGCAAAAATTTATTTCGAACAAACAGAATTATTTGTCTTATCCATTAAAACCGCGATGATGATAATCAAAATATATCGACAAATAAAATGAATAAATATAAACACAGTACCTTTCTTGCTCTGTTTAACCATAAAACAAAAAAGCTTCTACGTGATACAAAAGGATATTATTGAAAATAAACAAACATTATGTCTAAATTGTTTAATCAGACATGTTTAAATGAATATACATTTTTTCAGGGGTGGGGGGTTCACTTCGAGGCGCTATAATATTTAGCTAGCTTGTCTGGCTAGAACAATTACGACTGAGTAGTAAGTTCGATCCTCACTGGGTGTCTCCTATTTTCGGCCTTATGCCACATCTAAACTAATCTTGAAAATCGACATATATATATATATATATATATATATATATATATATATATATATATATATATTTTGTCAACCAGATACACAATGTAAAAATGTCATAATGACACTGAATATTTCCCCCCCCCACAAAAAAAAAATTAAACATTTTATGATGAGACATATTTTATACAGGTAAAGTGAGGGCTCGAAATCCAACTGGAATTATTGTAGTCTTGATGTACCATATTGTTTAAATTTCAACCTCAAGATCCTTGCATATTGTTTATTTGTTGAAGATTTTCAAACATACATTATAGTCTGCAAGAACTTCTATATCTAAAGGAAAACCCATTATGTTATTTATTTATTTTTTTGTGGTCATTGATCATTATTTATGGGCGATTAGCTTTGATTGTTCTGTTTGCATGCTTTGAAAAGTCAGAAAATATTTTACAGCTCCTATGTCTATAGTCAGCTCTGAGTAGTGTTCATATCAATTTCTTGCAGTTTCTTCCCCTTAGATTTTCCATTTAGATATTGACCCAATCTGCCAAGTTTTAAATTCAATGGATGCTAATACCGTTTAACCTAATACAAGATTGTCAAATGTTTCTGGATATCTAACACAGAATCAAAATTTTGGGCTACCACAATTTTTTCGGTATGTTTGCATGGTAATTACTAGTTAGCAAGAATTGCGCCCGTGCTGCAAGAATTGGTCCCGTGCAGCAAGAATAAAACCTTCAGTTTCTGCTTTTAATGATGCACTGAGTAACTACTGACTGATAAACAGCTTATTAACATCAGTTTATTTGACACAAGCAGAGTACTGACCATGAAGTCGGTTACGAGAAGTTCTGTTTTTTCACTCAACTGCGCCCAAAACATTATAATCAACCTGGTTGCAGTTTAGTGACTTAGATGGCTAAATATAAGGAGTGATGTTGTCGAAGAATTTGTCTGACAGCCATGATTTAGTTCAAGTGTCATGGTGCAGAGTCCTGTTACCAGACATAGGTTCGTCCAGAAGCTACACTTTTGATCTAGGGCAGTTCTACTTGATTTAGGCCACAGTGTTGAGTCTGACGGCCTCACCGATACATTTGAAAGTTCTTATCAGAAAGATCAGTGTTAGTCTTCCAAGCTATCACACATTCGTAATCAACATTAGATTCATCCAACTCTTTCCGATTCCTCTGCACTGTTCTTAGATTGACACTCAAATATTATGAAATGTTCGTATTGGATCTTACGGCGCGAATGCCAAGCAGTACAGCATACATTTTCCAAATGTCTGACTGAGTAAATTGCGCCACGGTGTTCCTTTACTCACAGACGATGTCCAACTGATTCTGCTGTAACTTGCATCGACAAAATAACAAAAAAAATCAATGCGCATGCGCGAAATTAAAAATATAAAATGGTGACAATTTACCCATCGCACACTCTCCCTTTCTCTTTGCCTGTCTGTTTGTCCGTCTCTGTCTTTCTCTCTCTCCTGCTCTCTCTCTCTCACTATCTCTCTCTCTATCCATCTATCTGTCTATATATATATATATATATATATATATATATATATATATATATGTGTGTGTGTGTGTGTTGTATGTGTACGTACGTATGTACAGTATATGTGACGGCTTTTCATAAGATTTTCCATTTGTAAGCATCGAATTTATTCAAATCTTTTTGAATATCGATATGAGTTTTATACACTTTTCTTTTTACTGAATAGTGAGACACAAATACACACAAACACAGTCATATATATATATATATATATATATATATATATATATATATATATATATATATATGTGTGTGTGTGTGTGTCTCTCTCTCTGTGTTTATCTTTGTGTGAGTATAGAAATCGGCATCTAACGCACACTCATATATTTGTGTTTGTTCCCGTATGTGTGTGTGCGTGTGTATCTGTCTTTATGCGTGAATATATGCTGGCGTACGACTATGTCAATGCTTTGTTTACTGTGCGTTTGTTTGAACAGTGAAGTTTAAACCATAATTTTATAGCCATATTTGTTGCAATTTCTTGCTCAGTTTTCTGCTTGAAAATTTCTTTACTATTTTCGCTTCGTTTTGCAGATTCTTCTTTTCAAGTCAATCCATTAAGGCCTTCAGCAAAAAACGACAAAAATTATTCAACGCGGGGAAGTAATGAAGACAAGAGAAAAAATAACGAAAAACTAAAAATGCTTGAATCACGATGGTGTGAAGGAGCACTGGTAAAAAGCACAACGTTCAGTCGTTTGCAAAAAAGCGAATCGGAAGTGAGGTAGTGTGAAAAAAATATGACAGACGCAGAGGAAAGCAGCGAGAATGGTGAAGATGAAAAATGCAAAAGTGAAAGAGAAATAAGAGTAAGGAAATAAAGGAAAAAGAATTGAATCATAAATAAATAAAAGCGAATCAACGATGAAATGAAGAAAAGGGGGCAGAAAATTACCAGTTTTACTCAGAGGAAAATATAAAATATTAACATGTGAATATTGGAGAAAACGAAAAACGTGTGAAGCACAAAAGAAAAAATTTCGAAGATTTAGAGTCGACAGATAAGTACGAAGAATAAATATTGAAAAATGAAAGAAAGAAGGTTAAGAAAAGGAAGTTTAAAAGAAAGAAAGATTGCAAAGAAATAAAGAAAGATGGAAAGAGAGAAAGAAAATAAACAATAAAAAGCATGAAATTCGAAAAGAAAAGAAATGAAAATGGCGAAAAGAAAGAAATAACAAAAAGAAAATAAAAAGAGGAAAGAATATAATGTTGAAGGAAAGAGTGAAATGAAGAAGAGATCGAATGACAAATGATGAAGAAAATTAGTGAATAAAGAAGCGAAGAAATAAAAAAGCGAAATTGAAAGTAAAAAAGAAATAGAAGAATATTAAGAGATTAAGAAATAAAGAAGAAAAGAAAAGAGGAAAAAGAAGAAAAACAGATTCGGAAAGGAAGACTAAAGAAAAGAGGAGAAAGGAGTAAAAACAGACTAGTAATGGAAGAAGGAGAGAAAAGAAGGAAAAAGAAGAACAAACAGATTCGAAAAGAAAGAATAAAAAGTGAGGAAAAAGGTGAAAAAAAGATTCAGAAAGGAAGAGGGAAAAAATGAGGTAAAAGAATTAAAATCAAATTTGGAAAGTAAGGAAAAAAAGGGAAAAGCATAAAAAGAGATTCGGAGAGGAGGAAAGAAAATGAGGAAAAAGAAAAAAAAAGATTCGGAAAGGAAGCCGGACTGAAAAAGAGGGAAAAAAAAGAAGAAAATTTGGTAAATGAAGAGGGAAAGAAAAAGATGAAAAAGAAGAAAAACAGATTCGGAAAGAAAGAAAAGAGAAAAAGGAGAAAAAAAAAACAGATTAAAAAAAGTGAAGAGGAAAGAAAAGCTAAATAAACCTGAAAAGAGATACGGAAAAAAATGAAGAAATGAAAAGAGGAAAAAGGAGAAAAAATAGATTCGGAAAGGAAGAGGAAAGTTAATGAGGAAAAAGAAAAAGCAGATTCGGTAAGTAAGAGGGAAAGAAAAGATATAAACGAAGAAAGACAGATTCGGAAAGGAAGAAGGAAAGAAATGAGGAAAAGAAAAGAAACAGATTGGGAAATGAAGATGGCAAGATAACAGGGTATATAAGAAAAAAACAGATTTGGAATGGAAGAGTGAAAGGATCGAGAAAAAATGAAAAAAGAATTCGTAAAGGAAGATGAAAAGAAAAAGATAAAAACAAATTTCGGGAAGGAAGGGGTAAGAAAAAGAAGAAAAACAGATACGGAAAGAGGGAAAGAATTGAGATAAAAGAAGAAAAACAGATTCAGAAAGGAAGAGGAAATGAAATAAGGAAAACACCTGATTCGAAAAGGAAGAGGCAAATAAAGAGAAAATAAAAAGAAAAAAAAACAGTTTTGGAAAGAAAGAGGAAAAAAACAAGAAGAATTGGAAAACAGATTCAGAAAGGAAGATAGAAAGAAAAGAAGGAAAAGAAGAAAAAACATATTCGGAAAAGAAATGAAGGAAAACATATTCGGAATGCACGAAAGGAAGATGAAAATGAAAACAAATGAAGTGGGAAAGGAATTGGGAAAGAAAAACAAAAAAAGACAGAAAAAAGATTAGGAAAAGAAGATTGAAAGAAAAGAGGAAAAGGAGAAAAAACAGATTTGGAATGGAAAAAAGAAAACGAAGAAAAAACAGATTTATGAAGGACTTGGAAAATAAAAAAAAAGGAAAAGTAAAAAAACAGATTCGTAAAGGAAGTGGAAAAGAAAAAGTTGAAAAAGTAGAATAAAAACAGTTTCGGAGAGGAAGAGAGAAGGAAAATAGGAAAAAGTAGAAAGAACAGATTTGTAAAGGAAGTGGAAAAGAAAAAATAGAAAAAAACAGTTTCGGAAAGGAAGTGGGAAATAAAAGAGGATAAAGAAGAAAAAATACACATTTGTAATGAAAGAGTGGAAGGAAAGTGTAAAAAATAGATTTTAATGAAAGCGGAAAAGTAAAACTGGCAAAAGATAGAAAAGCAGATTCGGAAACGACGACTAAAATAAAGAGGAAAAAGAAGAAAAAATAGATTCAGAAAGGAAGAGAGAAAGAAAAGTGAAAAAAGAAGAAAAATCAGTATCGGAACGGAAGAGGGAAAGAGAAAAAGAAAAAGAAGAAAAAATAGATTCAGAAAGGAAAAGGAAAATAAAAAAAGAAATTAAAAAAATTCGAACAAAAAGAGAAGAAAACCCGGAAAAATGGAAAAACAGATTCGAAACGGAAGTGTGAAAGAAAGTAAGAAAAAGAAAATAAAAACAAATTAGGCAATCAAGAGTGAAAGAAAAGAGGAAAAACTGATTCGGAAAAGAAGAGGAACAGAAAAGAAGTAAAACAGATTCAGAATGAATGGGGGAGAAAAGATGGAAAAAACAGATTCGGAAATGAAGTGGAAGAAAAGAGTAATAAGAAAAAAGGTTTCTGAGTGGAAGAGGAAAAGAAATGAGGTAAAAAAAAAAAGAGATTCGTAAAGGGAGAGGAAAATAAAAGAGAAAAAAGAAAAAAAAAAGAAATTCGAAAAGGAAGAGTGAAAGAAAAGAAGATGAAGAAGAAAATCAGGTTCAGGAACAAAGAAGAAAAGAAAAAAGGAAAAAGAAGAAAAAAAAACATATTCGTAATGGAAGAAAGAAAGAAAAGTGAAAAAAGAAGAAAAATCAGTTTCGGAACGAAAGAGGGAAAGAAAAAAAAAGAAGAAGAAAAAACAGATTCAGAAAGGAAGAGAGAAAGAAAAGTAAAAAAAGAAGAAGAAATATCAGTTTTGGAACAGAAGAGGGAAAGAAAAAAAGAAGAAGAAGAAAAAACAGATTCGGAACGGAAGAGAGAAAGAAAAATGAAAAAAGAAGAAAAATTAGTTTCGAAAAGGGATCGGGAAAGAAAAGAGGAAAAAGAACAGACTTGGAAAGGAAAAGGGAAGGAAAAGAAAGAAAAAATTTCAAAAGAATAGGGTTTTAGAAAATATGAATGAAAAAAACAGAGAGACTAAAAAATTGAGATGTAATTTTTTTAAGAAAGTGACATGTAAAAAAAACATTACTGACGGGATGTCACAAAAAATGGAATGACAGAATGAATTGTCGAAGGGAATATAAAAGAAAACAAAAAAAACGAAGAAAAAGAAACCAAAAATTATCTTCGGGAAACAAACAATAAGCGAATTTGAATCTCCAGGAAGAAACAATCGCAAAGGAAATAAATTTGCAAATGAAAGATAAAAATTAAAAAAAAAAAAAAAAAAGCAAATGTCTGACTGATGACGGCCTGGTGTTTTTGCAATTGACAT